GTCGACGCTCTTCGCGGCGAAGGCAGGGCCCCGCCCTTGTCCTAACGCGGGCAACTTTTCAACCGGATCGGATATGGATCCGCCGTTTTCTCTGATCCCCTGGAGCGTGAGCTTGCGGTCGATGCCCAGCTTGGGTCTCCCCTGGGTGCCCCGAAGTCGGCGACAATGTGTTACCTGGAGCTTCTCGGGCGCGTCTGGATGCATCCGCTGGCGAATGTCCGCGGCTGCTCGATCTGCGGCAGCGCGTTGGGCGGCATTGGCATCATCAAGAAACTCTTCGGGAAGCAGAAGCGTGACCGTGGCAGCGCGAACGTCGACTGCCAAATATTTGCGCCCAGGCCAATGGGCGCGCCGCAGACGGGAAGCAAGGGCGATATCCTGATGCCAGAGCTCTCGAGATAGACTTCAACGCGATAAGGCCAGCAAGAGGAGTGTGCGGATGGTTGGTGATACGATGATCACGAGCGGGCTGCGCGGCAAACGTCATCAGCATCTTGTGAAACTCAAGCAGGAGCGGAGGCGACAGCTCAGACACGTCGGCACTTCCTGTAGCGTTCGATCGGTACCTCTGAAATTCAGGAAGTCGGAATCTGCCCCTCGGAATCGGGGGTAGTCGGGGCCCTCGGAACGATCGAAGCCGAAACCGCGACGTGATCTGAGATGCGCTGCTCGTCTAAAATCTTAGGCATGCCGCGAAGCTCCGCTGCTGAGCAGAGCTGCGATAACGACCAGCCAGGAGAGAGAGATGATGCGGTCGATGCAGCTGAGCGAGGTTAGAGCCTTGTTACAGCGTGTACCCCCTTCCACCTCAACTTCAGTGCACTGATCAAAAAAACCTCTGTCAGGCTCGATCACGCCGCGGCTGTGCACCAGGGACTGGCTGGCCGTGCAGCACTAGGGCACTGTCGAGACAGCGCGGAGGGAGGTTCGCCACGCTGAAATCCTCCGCCAAGACAACCAAGAACTCGAGCGGGTTCTGCTGGACCCTTAGGACGCTTAATTGAATCTGATCTTCACTGTGTTGACGCGCGAGAGGAGTAATATAAGGATTGTGTTTGTTATAGTGAGCAATCCAAGCCCCATTTGAAAACTCGATGGTGACCCTCTGGGCCCGGCCAAGAACCAAACATACGCGCTCTATGTTCGGCACGTCGTGGGCGTGAGTCTGGGGGGGGGGGGGGGGGGGGGTCGGGGGCGAACGTGATCACACACCCCGCGCGCGCATTCAGAAAGAGGAGAAAGCGAGAACAGGACGATGGAGGTGATAGAGAAAAGCCGTGCACAGCAAGCTGGGCGCCATGAGTCTGGCGCGCAGCTACCAGCGCCCCGCGGGCCAGCAACCCCTTCAGGTAGGAGTGCTTCTTGGCACGGGTCCCACATCTATGGCAGAATAAAGCGCCAGCGTTCCACGTAGAGAGTCTCAAGGGCGTTGCCGCTGCAGCAGCCCCTTGCCATGTAGCAGAGAATTTGCTAGGAGCACCACTCGACGTTCTCATCCTGCGGGCGCGCAGCAGCGATCGTGGCTTGGCGGATGGCGGCCTCGTCGAAGTCGAGCGCAGCCAGGTTCGCCGAGCAGCGCTCGATGGTCGGCGGCCCCGATGGAGAAAGTACACGAACACGAACGAGCCCCTTCCAGTTCGCCGAGATTGAGCCAAGCGCCTTGTCCGTGAATAACCTCTTCTTGGGGTAGAGGTTCGCGAGCTGGGCTCGAATCGTCCTGAGCGTGATCTCGGCGCGGACACAACCGCGGGGCTGTTGTCCATGGCGACGAACACTTCGGTGTCAGTGTTCTGCGGGGTCTTGGCTGCGAAACGCTCCCAGCCTCCATCCCGTTGGCGGAGAGCTCCCATGGCCTGAGATGCGCGGCGAGCTGCGAGAGCTCCTTGACCTTTGATAGTGGAAGCGAAGCGTTTGTCGATGAGGTCGGATCCGAGCGAGTAGAGGGAAGGGGCGATGGCGACTCTGTCCAGCCACGGCTGGAGGGCGTCAGTGAGCGATTTGCAAACAAAAACAGGATCCTTCGTCCTGGCGATGATGAGAGACGAGGTCTCGGGCTGCCTATTGAACGATGTGTCGGGCAGTTGCACCACTCGAGGCTGTTCTTGCTGGGGAACACCCAGGTGCTGCCGAAGTTCCTGAATCTGCTTCTCGAGTTGGCCAATGCGCGTTTCGTGCTGTCGTTGGTGAGCTTCCACGGGTGTCAGTATGCGTTCCGCCTGCTTTTCCCATGGAGTCGCAACTGGCGGCAACATGCGTCGCGAGGCCTGATACTCCACGTTGTAGATTGGCGATGGCCTGTAGGAGCTCCTTCCTCGTGAAGCCGACGTAGTCTCTGACGGCGCCGATGGTGTCATCAGGCTCGGGGGGCGGGATCTGCCGAGCAGGAACTGGAAGGCCCACATCACCTGAGCCAGCGCTAGCAGCGACAGTAGGCGCCGGGCACGGTGATGTCGGTACCCTTTGGGAGGCTGGAGGCGTGGCAAGCATAGACTGGGCGACCCACTCTTCCACTTGACCTCCGTCGATGCGCTGCTTCTTCTCGATGAGATCGGGTGTGGCTTGCGCTGCCCTAGCTCGCCCCTCGTTGCTTCGGCTGCTGGAAAAACCATGATCAGGCATCGTGCGGCCTCTGCCGCGGAACGGAGCGAAGAACACTGGCTGGTAGTGGGAGAAGTGAAACAAAACACAAGGACTTGCCCCAGTCCTTGTGTCGAGGGCTTAACTGAGGGCAAGCCCAGGGAGCTCTCTGTCTGCCACCTCGAGAAATGTTTCACTTGAGCCACAATGGCTTGAGCCAAAATGGCTACGGACCTCCTCCTCCTCCTCTTCCTCCTCCTCCTCCTCCTCCTTTTTCTCCCCAATTGGCCTCCCTAGTCCCTTTTCCTCCTTCTTCGGTCGCCGTCGCCCTCCGCGTGCTGTCCCTCCTTTGCCCTCGGCCCCCATTCCTCCCTTCGCCCTCTTGTTCCTCCTCCTCGTCCTCCTCATCCTCCCCCTCCCCCTCCTCCGCATCGAGCGTCAGTCTTCGCTCCTCGGCCTCAATGTCCCGCCCTGGTTTTCGCCCTCGCACCCCCCCTCGCTCCAGGTCCCGCGCCCGGCCTCGTCTCCGCCCTCGCCCTCGCGCCCGCCCTCGCCCCCGCCCGAGGCCATTTTCACTTCAACCTTTTTTCCCGCCCTCGCCCTCGCCAGCACATCGCTGCGCGACTGCCCCTTTTGCCGCTTGCGTGCGGATCCAACGCTCCAACAAGACCCAGGCTTTGGAGTCCCGAAACGGTGCGGTGACAGACCGTGCGGTGACCTCGAAATCCCCCAAGACCTCACCGCACGGTCCGTCACCGCACGGTCCTGGGACCTCGGAGGCCCCAGTCGCCAAAGACGTCCTCGGAGAACGACCCGAGTCCCAAAACCGGGCGGTGACCCCGAATCCCCACCGACTCACCGCACGGTGTGGTCACCGCCCCGTTTGGGGACCCCCGACAAGCCCCGACTTCACGTCTTCATGACGTCGACCCCCAAAGGTCTCGACCCATTCCCCGGGACCGGCTCTTCATCCCGAGTCGTTTCCGGACGGCTTCGTGGCTCGGCAGGGGCCCCATGGGGGCCGACACCAGCGAAAAATATCCCGTCGCGATGCTTTCATGATACGATTTTTCTATTTTCAGAGAAACCACATTGACTTCCTAAGGATTCCTGTGGATTTCCTCTGGAATCCGCGCCCTCCGCCCTGAACTGCCAGAACTCTGATTGCATTCTGATTCAACTCTGGTTTACAGGAACTCTGACTTAGCTCTGGTCTGGGAGCCGAATCAGAGTTACATCAGAGTTCAGACCAACGCTCAATCAGAGTTTCAAAGCAAATCAAAGTTGAAACGTAATTTCGGGCCAGCGTTGTACCAGAGCTGAATCAGAATATCATTCGAGCTTTTGGAATTTAGCTTTTGAAGCGAGTCTCCAAAATACACACTTAAGCGAAGGACGAGCGACGTTTGTCCTCGGCGAGCATGCGCTCTGCGTCGCGCAAGTCCCTTCTGGGCAGCGGAGCCGTGACCACGCGAGAAGGAGGTGCCCGCGGAGCTGGCTGGACGCGGAAGATGGGAGCACGCGAGAGACGGTGGCGAAGGGCGAGGCACGCACACAGAGGCGCACGACGCCTTGGATCTGTGCTGGCCAGTGACGAGCACACATCCCCTTCAGGGCATGCGAGCGTGAAACAACTACGCACTGCCTGTTGCAGTCGCAGCACCAGGTTGGGACCCCTGGGGACCACACCCCTTGTGGCCGACCCGCCAGCCCGCTCCTTGGACTGACCTGGCCCTCCCCGGCCCATGACCTTCCCGCGGCCTGGATCCCGGGACTTTCCCCCGAAACCACTCGTCCATGCTGACAGTATGCCACGGCTCCAGCATAAGACGAAGCCTGGACGAGGGCAAGCCCGGGCGATGACAAATCGAGAACCTCTGAGATCCCGCGGCCCTGAGAGGTGTATCGAACGCCGCGGCCTCTCAGAGCGTTCCGGAACGCTCCGAGGGCGTTCCGGACTGCCCGAAGAGGCCACGGGTGGGCCCGAGAACGCAAGAACGCGGAGCCACAACTCGGGACGCGTCTCCCTCGGGACCCCGCCCCCTGACCTGCGACAACTCGGGCCCCGAGACCTCTCGACGCCTTCCCTGGGACTTCGGCTTTCCGTCCTGAACTGCTCTTTGACCGTCTCAGGGTCCGAAGCCGGCCCCTGGAATCCAAACATGCAGAGAACTTGCGACTCTCTCCCGATGTGACACATATATGTATACTTTTGTGTTTTCTCTCTCTCTCTCTCTCTATCTGCCTCTCCCTCTCTCTGTGTATCTGTATTTTTATATATATATATATATATATACTTTGAGGTCAGGGTTTGCTGCATGGCGATCCCAAGCAGTCGATCCGTCCTAGCTGGTCACGAGCGCAAGCGACGTCGACGGACGTCTTCCTGCCACAGGCCGGCGGCGCGGGGCGGGGCGGCGCTCCGCCACCGCGCCGCCCGCCCAGGGGTGGCTCGGCGGGAGGGCGTTGTGCATCTCCAGGAAGCGCCCGCCCTGCGCAATCCAGTCGTCGACGACGCCGTCGCGGCCCCCGCCGCCGTCGCCGCCTTCGCCGCCGTCGCCGCCGCCGCCGCCGCCGTCGCCGTCGCCGTCGCCGCCGCCGCCGCCGCCGCCGCCGCCGTCGTCGTCGTCGTCGTCGTCGTCGTCGTCGTCGTCGTCGTCGTCGTCGTCGTCGTCGTCGTCGTCGTCGTCAATCGTCCGTCGTCGTCGTCCGTCGTCCGTCGTTTATTGTCGTCGTCGTCCGTATTTTGTCGTTCGTCGTTCATCCTCGTCGTCGTCCTCGGCGTCGTCGTCGGCGGCCGCGGCGGCGTCCGTCGTCGTCGGTGTCGTTGTCGTTGTCTGGGGGTCGCGGCACGGTGCGGTGACAGACCGTACATTGACAACGAGATCCCGAATAGGGCCTCATCGCAAAATCTTCGTCGCCTTACGATTGTTTGGGACCCAGCAAGCCCAGGTCGCCCCGAGACGTCCCAGGGACACGGCACAGGTCCCAAAAATCGTATGGTCACCTTGGATAGGGGAGCAAAAAGTGGCATAAACATAAAAACTCTGAGGTCCGCGCGGATTTCTCGGATCGGCGCTGGACCCCCCTCCCTGGCGCGCGGAGCGCGCCAGGGGCCCCAACGCAGATCCGAGAAATCCGCGCGGACCTCCGAGTTTTTATGTTTATGTCACTTTTTGTTCCCCTATGGAAGCGGCGGGGGGTATGCGCTGCACGGGCCCCGAGATAATCGATTAAGAGGGGGGGGGGCGAGGGCAACTCCGCTCAGAATCTTTCGAAACGGACCCGTCTGTTCAAGCCACGTCCAGCCGTGGAGACGAGGTGGGCCCGTTCTCCCCCCTCTCTGCTGGGCGGAGCCAGTGCTGGGCCACCTCAGCCCCCCAGCCGGCTCCCACTGACTCACCCCACTGAATCACACCGAGCCCTCACTGACTCGGCCCCAAGGGAGTTGCCGTCGGCGTCAGCGTGGGCCTCCGAGCGCCATCCGATGGGGCCCAGAGGCCATCGACAAGAACTGGCTCGGGACGATGTGCAGCCCACCGCTGGGAAGCGGCCAAGGCCTTTCTGTACGTACGAACGAACGAACCACTACAACGGACAGATGCGGGGGCCTGGCTAAGACCTGGTGGGGGAGGCCAGGGTTTCCTGCATCTGGTACGTATGAAGGACACAGACATGCACTGGGCCTGTAGCCAAGGCCTCTGCTGGAGGGCGCCAGCGACACGCGTTTACTTCGATCCTGGCCAAGCGCATCCTGCGCCTGGGCTCGGTGCTCATATGGCGGATTCCGGAGCCCCTCAACCCAACATCCTTGTCATTTCCTGGGAAATTGACTTTTCACTTCCGCCGCCTTCTGCTAGCCTTCCGCTGGCGGAGGCGGCCTCGTTTTACTTCCGTCGACCTTCCGCCGCCCTTCCACCGCGGAAGAGATGAGAGAACACCCTCGATCCTCGAGGGCACGGCCGTTTTCGGAACGCCCCATATGCATTCCAGGCCGGGCGCCCCTCAGAGCCTGGGGACCGCGGGCCGCAGAGAGGGCGACGGCCCAGCGGAGACATGGGCCACCGCAGGCGAGCACTGCGACAGAACCGGGTGGCGCCCCGATCAACAGGGGGGGGGGGCGATATGTGGAAGCCTCCCCTGTAGAGCAGGAGCACGTGGGGTCGGAGGGTTGCACCGCATCGCCGAGGCATCGCCGATGCACTGGCAACGTCGGGACGGAGAAAGTTGAACCCCAAATCGGCGATGTGGAGCGATCCTCCAACACCATCTGTTCTGGCCAATTTTTAAAGGTCTGGAATCTTAACGGCGTCAACGGTCAACATCGACTTGGAATCGACGCTACATCGCGGACACATCGTCGACAGCGTCCCGATGGCGAAACTGAATTATCGCTGGGCGGTTTCTGGCAAGCCTCCCGATCCACCACGTCCAGCTTGGCATGGAGCAAACAGGTCCTGAGGGAAACGTTCCCTGGACCCTTGGAGCTTGAGGCGGCGCACGCGGCGCAACAAGGAGGACCCCCCCCGAGGGTCAAGGTCGTCGGTTTAAGGTCAAGTTTTTGGGCCTCGGTTTCCAAGGTTTAAGGTTTGAGGTCAAGGTCCAAGGTAAAAAGGTTCAAGGTCACTTGCAAGGTCAAGCAAGGTCAGTAGTAGTTGTTCCAAGGTGGCTCCAAGACGGCATCAAGAGGGCTCCTGGATGGCACCAAGGCGGTCCGAGAAACCCTCCAAGACGGCCAGGACGGCCTCAAAAGGCCTCCAGCACAACCCTAAGACGCTTCCAAGACGTCCAAGACGCCCCCAAGAGAACCCGAGTTTGCCCAAATATGTTTCGAAGATGGCCGATCGTCGCGACATTGATTATTGAGGCGCGATATTGATTAGGCGCGATATTGATTATAGGGGAGCAGCCTTGAGGCGGCCGCAGGATGAGAGGACGACAATCATTCGATACGTGTTTCAAGTTTCAAATCGTTTTCATCTCGACGGCCGCCGCATTGATCCAAGCACGCTTTGACTCCTCACGGTGGCCTGCGCCGCCGTGGCGTCGAGGCGCGCGCGTGGCTCCCTGGGCCGTGGCCCAACTCCCCCTAGGTGTGGCGATCGACCACCTAAAATGAAACTTGAAACTTGAACCGATCCTCGCTTCCTGAAGACTGGCCGGGCTGGTCCCAGCTTTGGGCGTCTGGGCATCCACCTCATTGGTCGGGCTCTCTTCATTTCTGCCAACCCATCCAAGCTGCTTCCACACCAAAGGGTCACTCATATCGAGCTTGCTAAAGTTGATCCATCCATTTTGCTTCCAGGCCTCGGGGCCCTCGTTCTCGTAGTCCTGCCAGCCATGCTGTTTCCAATCCTTGGATCAGTGGGATCGGCTTTGCTTTCCCAACCCAGGGGCTTCCACGCCTCGGGGTTGCCCATGTCGAGCTTGTCGTAGTCGATCCACTTAGACGGGTATTTCGTCCACTTGCGCTCGCGCTGGCCCGCGTTATTCTGGCTGCTGTCGCCTTCGCGCACGAATGGCCCGACATATTGTTTCTGCATCGGCATGATCTGCGGCAAGTAGCCCCCCATGTTGCAGATGGCCTGGGACCCAAATAGTTTGGAAATCGACTGCCCGACGCACTTGCACTTGCTCTTGGCTTGCAGGGGTCTGGTCATCTCGCACTTGACCATCCTCTCGTTGGTGGTGGACGTGCGACCCTGCTCCACGATCGCGAGGTGCATGTCCAGCTTTCCTCCCATCGCGATGAGCTCCTCAACCTGCATGTCCGCCACCGCCCTTGACGCTTCCATGTGGCTGGCCGTGATCTGCAATTGCGTCGTGGCTTTCTTCATGTAGATCACGTATTCCCCGATGCCCCCCCGTGGCCCTTCGCTCATTGAGCTCTGGGACCACGACGCCTGCTTGATCATGGGCGTTGTGCCCCACTGCTGCGCGTCGCTGGGCGGGGGCCCAGGGGCAGCCGCAGAGAAGGCTGTGCGCTGCGCGCTGTACAGGCCGCGCGAGTAGTTGCTGTAGCCTGAACCCTGTAGCATATTACTTACTCGAGCCAGGCAGCTGCTATATGCACTCCAGGTTCAGTGTTGTCGCGTTCTCTGCGTCTCTCTATCGCACCGTCGTCTGTCGACGCAGTTGGCGCAGGAGTCGGGGGGGGGGCCAGGGGCCCCGGGGGCTGCAGAGTCCCATGGGCGAGGAGGAGGTGGGGTAGGAGGAGGAGGAGGAGGTCCTGAGTATACCCGGGATGCACCAGCGACGCTGCAATGCCCCCTCACGCCGCGAGCCCCCATCACTCCTCGCAGCACGCCCTTGCGGGCAGCATTCCTCGACGACGACGACGACGAGACTCGAGGCTGGGGCTGGGGATGGGGGCACAGGAGACTAAGATAATTCCCCCACCGCCTCGGAAAGCGGTTCGGGGAGAGGGCGGGGGGTGGAGGGGCGCGGGGGCAGGGGCGACGGAGCGACATTACCTCATTACTCATTATCTCATTACTTCATTACCTCATTACCTCATTCTTCATTATTCACAAATTCAGCGCGCACTATTCATTACTCATTCCCTCCCTCTCCCCATCCCCCCTCCTCCTCCTTCTCCTCCTCCTCCCTCCTCCTTGCTCAGGGCTGCTTGAGGCCCGGGGCTGGGGGCGTAGGTCGCGGCGCAGGGCAAGTGGCTGAAGGCTAAGGGCTTAAGGCTTAAATTGTGAAGGGCTTAGGGCTTAGGGCTGAGTTCTCAAGGCTCGGAGCTGAGGGCCCAGGGCAGAGGGCGCAAGGCTCAAGGCCCAAGGCTCGGGCTGAAGTCTCAGGGCTGAAGGGCCAGGGGCCAGGGCTCAGATTTAATGGCTCAGGGCGCAGAACTCAAGGCTTAGGGCTCAGGGCTCAGGGTTCAGAGTTCAGAGCCTGAAGCTGAGGGCTCAGGGCGTGGGTTTCGGGGCCTAGGGCTCAAGGCTCAAGGCTAAGCGCTACTGGCTTAGGGGTCAAGGGATTAAGCCTTCGGGCTTAGGGTTTCGAGCTCGGGGCTCTGTGCTCAAGACATATGGGGTTAGGGCTTAGAGCGCGGGGCTTAAGGCCCAGGGCTCAGGGCTGAGGGTTGAGGGTAGAGGTTGAGGGCTTGAGCTTTTTGGCTCCGGGCTGAAGGCTTAGGGCTTAGGGATTGCGGATTAGTTCTTAAGGCTCCGAGCCTAGGGCCCAAGGTTTAAGGCCCAGGGCTCGAGGCCCAGGGCTCGGGGCTGAGGGCCTTGGGCTGAAGGCCCGAGGCATCGGGCTTAGGGCCCAAGGCGCAGGGCACAAGGCCCCCAGGGCTCAGAGCCTAAAGCTGAGGGCCCAGGGTTTGGGGCTCAGGGCCCCGGGCTTAGGGCTCAAGGCCATGGGTTAATGGCTTAAGTGGTTAAGGCCTAGGGCTTAGAGCTTAGAGCCAACTTGGCGTTCCGACTTGTTCCTTGTTGGACGTGCCCCACCCGCCAATGTCCCATGACATATAGAATTCAAACGC